GACTGGATCACAACGAGCACTGCAAACAAATAAAGCAAAACTGGGGAGTGAACATGGCAAGGGGGCTTACCGAAGTTTCCGGCGGAACTGGTATGTTTGCATCGTCTGAGCTACCGGAAACTATTCGAGTAGGCCGCGCTATTTTCACAACATCAATCCGATTTGGAACTCCAGTCTTTGACGCTCCTCCTCCACCCGCAGTTAGGAGAATCTCGGAACTAACCGCCTTGAGTTGGTAGACCGGATAGGGGAAACTGTGTAAAATAGATTTATCTGGTATCCTGGAGTTCTTCATTCTTACTGCAGCGTATCAAGGCTATAAAGACAATAACCGATCGTGAGTTTTATGGCACATGAAATTAATTGTTTTTATAAGTCAAAACCAAGATAATAATTTACAAATAAATCTAACTATAAAGCTAGTACTATTTTGAGATAGTAGGTGGATAAAGAAGCTTCGGGCAAAAGCATAACGTGGGTCACTTTTCTTGACAAGATGACAAGTTGGCGACTAAAAGCATAAAAACTTGGGGGAAAACGTCAGTTAGTTGTAGTCCTGTCCTTGCCAACAGGCCAGCATAAATTTTGCTGCGAAAAAAAACTCTTCTTTCACTCTAAATCATGCATAGATTTTACATGCCATACAAGAAATTGACAGAAAGCCTTTGATGGCCAACCTTGCAATGACACAATAACGTGGCACATAGCTGTCTCTGTCTTATAACACTCTCAAATATTCTAGACCCATGATTTTATCTAAATGTGGGCAATAGTACACAGTGTTGAAGAGCTCGTTAGGATCGGTAAAAAGAACATGTATTACTGAACACGAATAGCAAAACTCTGATAAAGGATTTCCATTTTAGTCCGACATACTTTTCATGGGTGTGTATGCGGGTTAGCGGTCAAAATAGTTCCGTCTCGATAGAGACATCAGTAGTCACGTAACATACCTGTACGAACTCGCGGATACCAAGGTGCTGAATATAACAAGACGATAATCTACCGCAAGTTGGGAGTGATGGGACTTGAAGATATTCCATTTGATATGTTACTAGGATTTCAATTGGCGTCTACTATTAAGGCTTAATTAAAACTTAATTAAAACTTAACGGCATATTAGCCCAAAAAAGGGGTTCAGAAGATATCCAAAACGTCCTCTACTAAGGCCGGGTTTGCGAGACTTTCACAGCGACATACGTACGGTATTTATATACAAAGGTTTTATCAGTTAACTCCAGTATTCTGGTTAGAGCTCAGTAATATTTTCCCACATGTATTAGCATTTACTTGATTCCCAAACTATACCGTGGTAACAGCAGGTCGGCAAAAGCTAGCATATGGTTAACCATTTTTAGTGATGTACAGTCTTGTTTGCCGTATGCCAGCTTTGTCGACCTGAGGTTATCAGCGTAATATGGAATTGAAGATGCAAAACTCAGCGTGAAAGAATGAGAACAATGCCACACAAGTATTAGATACGAGAACCCGTAAGACAGTATCCACAGCAAATTTTCAAAACTGGAGAAAAATATATCGGACTCATACTCGGCTAATGATCAACGCCTGGATTTGCGAACAAATGAACGTCATCAAAAACGTTCATAAGTAGCAAATGTGCACCAGCACATTAAAACACTACGACTTCAACAGGCAAAAAACTTAGGTTGGTCAAGTAAGCCAAACCGTTTTCCGTTAGAGTAGACCCTCTATATATAAAAGAAAATGCATAGTGTCCTGCTATCTTTCTGATGGAATGCTTACAAATGTGAAACCTGAACTGAGGATTTCGGTTCTGATCATAAATCTAGCAGAGCATTTACCGACCGAAAACTCTATTAGGACGACCGACAGGAACGATAACACCTACACTTGTAGGAGGGCTGAAAATCGAAGAGAATAAATTGGCAAGGAGGAAAATCAGGTAGAACTGACTTTCTCGGTGCAGTTTATATTCCGAATGTTGCAAACTACTGAAATAGAGCCATGTTATTCTAAATCTGCGGAGAGTATTT